AGACATGGCAGCCTTTCCTCTCATTGGTAACAAACACGATAACTCTTGAAAGTTGAGGCTCATATATATGTTTTATTATTATTATCGTTTCATTTACTTTCTTTTGTTTGTGGTTATTTAAGTATTTTTTACCTTGTTCAATTTAATTCAGTTTATATTTGGATTTGCCTTGAATCACAACAGTAGTCGTCTTGGAGGACTTTACAATGTTGCCGATTCACCCACAACAGATCAGAGAATCAAACGGTTCGAGCGCAGGATATCCAAGAGTAACAAAAACATTGGTTCAGACGGAAATGTAAATGAATGTTCTTAAACTTACCATTTTCTCCTTCATTAACCGAGACAAACATATGTATCTATAAAACCAAATAATCAGATTATAATAATACACAAAATAATAAAACATAATAATTATAAAATATGCAACAATATACTACTACTATTTTTTTTTTTTTACTTGCGCTGGAAACAGCAGCAAATATCTCTGAAACAGTTGTTTTGTGTTTTACAATTATTATTTTTTCTACCTGAGATGTTGCTGCAGTTCAGTGTTCATGGTTTTACACTGGTCCAGACCAGAGCAGAGAGGATTCATGGTTTTACACTGGTCCAGACCAGAGCAGAGAGGATTCATGGTTTTACACTGGTCCAGACCAGAGCAGAGAGGATTCATGGTTTTACACTGGTCCAGACCAGAGCAGAGAGGATTCATGGTTTTACACTGGTCCAGACCAGAGCAGAGAGGATTCATGGTTTTACACTGGTCCAGACCAGAGCAGAGAGGATTCATGGTTTTACACTGGTCCAGACCAGAGCAGAGAGGATTCATGGTTTTACACTGGTCCAGACCAGAGCAGAGAGGATTCATGGTTTTACACTGGTCCAGACCAGAGCAGAGAGGATTCATGGTCCGAACCAAGTGGATCCGGTGAAAATCCACTGGAGGAATGCTAACTTTTATAAAATGCTAATGAAGAATTCAGCATTTTACTTTGGACCAGAGCAGAGAAAATGGTCTGAACCAAGAGGCTACGGTGGCTGAGTGGATAGCACTCTAGCCTCTCAGCAAGAAGGTTCTGGGTTCGAATCCCGGTCGGACCAGGGCCTTTCTGAGTGGAGTTTGCATGTTCTCCCCTTGTCTGCGTAGGTTTCCTCCGGGTACTCCGGTTTCCCCTACCACTAAAAATATTATGTACAATAGTTCTGGCATGCGCCTCCTGTTCAGCGACCCCGCTCCTGTCTCTGTGTGGAGTGAGAGGATAAGTGCCCAAAAAATAACAATTGTAAACCGCTTTGTGACTCTGGCCTGTGAAAGGCGGTATATAAATAAAGCTTACTTACTTACTTACTCCACCTTGTGACCTGTCCTGCTCCACCCAGAAGCTACTCCACCTCTGCTGCTGTGACCTGAAGGACTGTTAAATTTAATCTTATTCTTAGATACTTGTTAGATAGAATTATATATTTGTTTGTTTGGATGGATGAGTTTCTGCTGCTTCTGGACCCCTGCATTTCTCCTACAGGGATCAATGAAGAATCTATCTATTTACGAGTACTAATACTCCTAAGACTACTACTACTGCTATAAATCATTAAAATTGATTTTGTTTTTTTACAAAAAAGCCATGCTCATAATTCTAACTGATATTGATCGGTCTTGTTTTTCTTTAATATATTTATTTCATTTATTGCAGGTGAATTAGTTCTTCCAGAGAAAACACATTCCTTCATAATTCCACACCTGTCTCCATCAATAACTTTGTAATTGACAATCTGTGGTGTTATGGCAGAACATAATTCATTATTGTTGCCGACACTTCCCGAGAGCAGAGTGGAATCATAAGCGATAAACAACTTTGCAGAAGTTTTTCCTGAAGTCCATTTAAATTCCCATCCATCCACAGCGTCGGCCCCCGGGAGCAGGCCAGACTCACCGCCTCAGGCCCCGGCTAAACACATGCTTTGTTCGCCATATGGACACATCCTGTACCCGCACTCAACAACTCTCCGTAACACACTCATATTCTGCGTTTTCATTCTGCCGTTCTCTCCACTGATTGGTTTCATGTTTAAGATTGACATGTCACTCTTTGGATCTTGTTTAAAGCTGAGGTATAGCTAATTTTAATTTTTTGTTGATGATTCAGAGATCAGAGAAGGATCAGAGCAGGTCTGACAATGAGACCAGACATTCATCAGAGAGAGAGATCAGAGAGAGACCAGAGAAAGATCAGACAGAGACCAGAGAGAGACCAGAGGTAGATCAGAGAGAGACCAGAGAGAGACCAGAAAAAGATCAGAGAGAGACCAGAGAGAGACCAGAGAGAGACTAGTGAGAGACCAGAGAGAGACCAGAGAAAGATCAGACAGAGACCAGAGAGAGACCAGTGAGAGACCAGAGAGAGACCAGGGAGAGACCAGTGAGAGACCAGAGAGAGACCAGAGAGAGACTAGTGAGAGATCAGAGAAAGATCAGAGAGAGACCAGAGAGAGACCAGTGAGAGACGAGAGAGAGACCAGAGAGAGACCAGTGAGAGACCAGTGAGAGACCAGAGAAAGACCAGAGAGAGACCAGAGAGAGAGACCAGAGAGAGACCAGAGAGAGACCAGAGAGAGACCAGAGAGAGAGACCAGAGAGAGACACCAGAGAGAGACCAGAGAGAGACCAGAGAGACAGACCAGAGAGAAAGACCAGAGAGAGACCAGAGAGAGAGACCAGAGAGAGAGACCAGAGAGAGAGACCAGAGAGAGCCCAGAGACTGAGCCATATGGACACCACACAATCTATACCCCTCACTCACTTTATCACACTCGAGTACTCTGTTTTAAAACCTGGGAGAAAGTGTGACCAGAGAGAGGGACCAGAGACCAGAAAATTAGACCAGAGAGAGACCAGAGAGACCAGAGAGGCAGCTGAGAGAGGGATCAGAGACCAGAGAGAGAGACCAGATAGAGACCAGAGAGAGATCAGAGAGGGAGACTAGAAAGGGAGATCAGAGAGGGAGACCAGAGAGAGAGCAGAGAGAGGGATCAGAGACCAGAGAGTGAGACCAGAGAGAGAGACCAGAGAGTGAGACCAGAGAGTAAGACCAGAGAGGGAGACCAGAGAGGGACCAGAGAGAGGGATCAGAGAGACCAGAGAGAGATCAGAGAGGGATCAGAGAGTGAGGTCAGATAGAAACCAGAAAGTGAGACCAGAAAGTGACCAGGGAGAAATCTCAGCTTTTTAAGATCAAAATACTTAACAAATAAAACAGATTATTTGTCCATTATTTGGTCCAGCCCTCGCTCTGTGCATTAGACGTCTCTGGCTCTTAAAGCTGATTGCAGCCTGTAAACCTTTCATTGCCCATGTCTTTGATCCTGTTTTATGCAAATACGCAAGTTCTCATTTATGAAGGTAAAGAACGCAGTCCGCTCTATAATTGTTACAGCCTTTAGTTTTGCACGAGTTTGGCATTCAGGATAAATGCTTCATCAGAGGTTATGTAACGATTCAGGATCACACCAGCCACTTTTGTCCAACTTTTAACAGTTTCATTATTTGGAGCAATATTGTAAAATAGTTTCTCATGCAGATATTAAATAAGTAATGCTTATTTAGGTAGTGCATCTTACAGACCAAGGTCACCCAAAGCACTTTACATTTGTTCAGAGTTCAGATATTGATCCAGTCTCTCCACACAGTGACGACTGCAGCGAGACCAGAACATACTGGACCATCAAAGCCCAACACATGGACCAACACTATCCATTCACTCATTCTCATTACATTCAGACCTATTGTACACTTTTTTTAGTGGTAGCGGAAATCTGAGCACCCGGAGACAGGGGGAGAACATGCAAACTCCACTCAGAAAGGTCCTGTTCCGACTGGGATTCGGAAAAGGACCAGTTTTACCTCCAGACTTACTAATACAACAGTCAGAATTTGTGAAAACTTTGCTGATAGCCAGACTAAAAAACTCAGAAGTCGCATGGCACCAAAAAATGACGCCGTGGAAAGAGCTCTGGTGTAATCTGCCTCTGTCTGGTGCACACTGGGGCAGTCAGGCACAGTTTCTCCATTTGGGTTTTACTGCAAATGGCAAATAAATTCTTGAATCTTGAAAAATGGCTGGACTCATTGTGGTGGAATTTTAGAAGCTTTTTAGGCAAAGCAAGGCGAGTTTATTAGTGTAGCACAGTTCATACACCAGGCAGTTGAAAGAATCACACATACATGAGAGTCATAAATTATCACAGTGCATTGAAAAGAGTAAATCCTTCAGTTGTTTTTTCATCTGGATTTGAACATTGTCAGAGGAGAAGCCTGTCTCACATTTTCGGTAAGACATTTCCAGATTTAACTGCATAAATATGAAAACGATTCTCTCCATGTTTAGTCCTGACTCTGGGACCAGCAGGAGGCCAGTCCCTGTGCTCCTCAGAGTCCCAGCAGGAGGCCAGTCCCTGTGCTCCTCAGAGTCCCAGCAGGAGGCCAGTCCCTCTGCTCCATAGAGTCCCAGCAGGAGGCCAGTCCCTGTGCTCCTCAGAGTCCCAGCAGGAGGCCAGTCCCTGTGCTCCTCAGAGTCCCAGCAGGACACCAGTTCCTGTGCTCCTCAGAGTCCCAGCAGGAGACCAGTCCCTGTGCTCCTCAGAGTCCCAGCAGAAGACCAGTCCCTGTGCTCCTCAGAGTCCCAGCAGGAGGCCAGTCCCTGTGCTCCTCAGAGTCCCAGCAGGAGGCCAGTCCCTGTGCTCCTCATAGTCCCAGCAGGAGACCAGTCCCTGCGCTCCTCAGAGTCGCAGCAGGAGACCAGTCCCTGTGCTCCTCAGAATTCCAGCAGGAGACCAGTCCCTGTGCTTCCCAGAGTCCCAGCAGAAGACCAGTCCCTGTGCTCCTCAGAGACCAGTCCCAGCAGGAGACCAGTCCCTGTGCTCCTCAGAGTTGGTTCATACTTCACTAACACCTCACAGATGTATTTGATCCGAGGCCATGAGAGACTTGTTCACTTGTTTTAGAGACAGGGGTCAATGTAGCCGGGTTGACATCCGATCTGTGATTCAGAAACACAGAAGGTGGCCTTTAATATAGTGCCTTGGTCCTGAGAAGTAAGTAGCGGGTCCATTTGAGTAAACATATCAGAGAGTAGGTCACAGAAATGCCAGCGCTCCCTCTCAGCGACAAACAGATCCACCAACAGCAGCGTCCAATGCCCTTTAAGTCCAGCCTCAGCCCACTCCCACCGTGAGGCCGGGGACACCACACAGTCTACTCTATATGTTTGAATTAGATTACTGCAGCCTGATTATTTAACTTATGTACCGTATTTTTTTTATTATAAAACACACCAGCCAAAAAAATGCATAATAAAAAAGGAAAAAACATATATAAGTGGCACTAGAGAATAATAATAATAATAATCCATGGATATTTACAGAAGGATTGAGCCAGAGCATGGATTACCTCAACGTTATGAAGTCCAAATGTAAGCAATATGATAAAGAAGGTTTCATTTTGTGCCCATATTATGCTTTAAATCCTTTTAGTGTAACGTCTGGTATTGCTTGTACTTGTGCATAAATGTAGATGAGAACATAAACCCTAAAATGGTTTACAGTTTGTGGGTTTTGACGACCAAAAAAATGTGCTAATTCAAATAAAACAAAATGGTTTCAATAATTCACATATTGCTTCATTCTTCATAGCGTAATCTTTTAACTTAATAGCCCGGGCATTTATTTGATATTTTGAGGAACATAAAATATAAAAAATCCAAACTATGAACTATAAAATTGTGATTAATATCCCAAAAAAATATGGTAATACTGTATCATTTATCTCCTAAATTTATCTCTCCTAAATAAAAAATACTACTGATATATGTTGTATTTTTATTGATATTATTGGAGGCAACTGTGGCCAAGGATTAGGGAGAAATGGAAATATAATGTCCTTAATCAAACTCATTGTCAAAAAAAAAGGCCATCCTGGAGAAGCCATGTTCCAGCTTCTTCCCTGTGGCCGAAGACATCATTCTCTGAGATGCAGGACATTTGGACAGAAGCTTCTTTCCACAAACTGGTATCAGTCTGAGCAAAGCACTTTAATGATCTTGCTCTTGATAACACACTGGGGACCTTTGTACATTTATTCCATTGTGGTTTTACTGCAAATGACAAATAAAATGAATCTGTATATTTTTATCTGTGTCATGTTGTTTGTGCAGGTGTGAAAAACATTCTTTCAATAACTAGATAAAGAAAGTGTCAGACACATTTATTTTGATAAGTTCACGACAAATATATTTGATTATGGCACATCTCATTACTGCAACTCACTGCTTCACAAAGACAGAGAGGCTTAAAGGTTTATGGATTTTCTTTTCTTCCGTGAGGATCATCTAAACTATTGGGCGTCCTACTTGTCAATCATCCTGGTCATATCTGGTAATTAGTCCTGACTCTGGGACCAGCAGGAGTCCAGTTTGTGGAAAAAAGCTTATATCCAAATATCCTGCTTCTCAGAGAATGATATCTTTCTGCCAGAGGGAAGAAGCTGGAACATTGCTTCTCCAGGACGACCTTTTTTTGACAATGAGTTTTAAAAGGCTCTGAGGAGGACTGTTCTTTCCCAAAGTTCAGGAAAATCCCCCTAAGTGCCCTTAAGTTGTGGTCAATATGATCAAGAGATACTCTATTCGTCCCACAGACAATTCCATTTACAAAGAGCATTACGGGAGAAATCTTTTGCTTCTGCAGGATTTGCTATTTTTTAATTTTTTTTTCCTAATTTGTCTCCAGTAGGTTAGACTACTGCAATGGCCTGCTCACAGGTCTGTCCCAAGCCCCGGCGATCCAAGATGGCGCCCTATTCAAATGAATGGTTGTGCTCAGTGGCGCTTTATGACGGCATGGGGGCTGAAAGATTAGCGGAAGTTGCCTGAAACTCGCAAAGATCTATGGGAAACTCTCCTGTATTTGGGCATCGTCTGGTCCTCCCGGTTCTGCGCAGTGGATGATCTCCCATAATGTGTTGCGCCAAACACGCGTGTGTGGGTCTCACACCGGGTCTCACGCACGTGCACAGAGGGGCTCGGCCGCGCTCTGACCAATCAGAGCAGTTCATCAGAGCGGGAGTTAGAGCGAGAGCCAGAGGAGCAGAGTTTGTGGCACTAAAGTGTGGATTTAAACAAAACCGAAAGATTTAACAAGAAAAAAAGTTCAGGATGACAAGGGACACTAAAATCCCCACAAAATCCGACCTTTATGAAAGCTGTAGGTTCTCTGTCAGCTGAGGTTGAGCTGTTTTAATATGCATTGAGTTCTATGGGGAACATTTCTGGGTGGCCCACGTGAATTTAGTCTGGTTCAGTCTGCAGTACCGCGAGAATCCCCTGAGCACATGAGTTATTCAGCTACAAGCTAGTAATACCCTATCCAGTTAATATAATACATCCATGGTCTGTCCAAACAGGCTGTAAAACAGCTGCAGTACATTCAAAATGCAGCAGCTCGAGTCCTGACTAGAACCAGGAAGTACGACCATATTAGTCCAGTCCTCAGGTCTCTGCACTGGCTTCCTGTGGCTCAGAGAATAGACTTTAAAACAGCTTTGCTTGTGTACAAGTCTCTCCATGGCCTCGCACCAAAATATATTAGGGACATGTTAGTCCCATATGAACCAGCCCGGACTCTGAGGAGCACAGGGACTGGACTCCTGTTAGTGCCCAGAGTCAGAACTAAACATGGGGAGGCTGCTTTTCAGATTCATGCTGCTAAAATCTGGAACAGTCTTCCTGAAGATGTGAGACAGGCCTCCTCTCTGACAATGTTTAAAACCAGGTTAAAGACAGTTCTGTTTAAACTGTGCATACAACTGAGGGATTTTATATTTTCATCTTTCTTTTTAATGTTCTGTGATAATTTATGATTTAAATGCTTTCTTGTTTTGTTCAGCACTTTGAATTGCCTTGTGTATGAATTGTGCTATATAAATAAATTTGCCTTGCCTTGCCTAATTGTTTTTATTTAAAGCTGGATTTGTAGATTTGTATATTTGAATGTGTTACTTTTACCTGTGCAGCGCTTTGGCAATGTATTTTATAAAAGGTGCTATATAATTAAATTGGAATGGATTAGATTGAACAAACTACTACTGGGCGGCACGGTGGCTGAGTGGATAGCACTCTCGCCTCTCAGCAAGAAGGTCCTGGGTTCGAATCCCGGTTGGACCAGGGCCTTTCTGAGTGGAGTTTGCATGTTCTCCCCGTGTCTGCGTAGGTTTCCTCCGGGTGCTCCGGTTTCCCCTACCACTAAAAATATGTACAATAGGTCTGGCATGTGCCTCCTGTACTGGCACCCCCACTCCCAAAAATAACAATTGTAAATCGCTTTGAGACTCCGATGTGCAGTGAAAAGGCGGTATATAAATAAAGATTACTTACTTACTTACTACTACAGCTGCCCCGGGACACACCAGACTCATTCGAGGCAATGTGGGGTAACGGGTTTTGCCTACGGACACAACAACAGCCTGGCACTTTACAGCCGCAGCCGTCCCACTGTGGCACCTGATGTCTCCAGAGGTCTCCCGTCACAGTACTAACCCTGCTCTGCCCTGCTTAGCTACAAAAATCTGACTGTATCTGGTTTTCGCATGCAGGTGGCGCCACAAGCAACTTAAGATATTGTGTTGGATTCTAAAACACAAACTGAATTGTCCCAATGTCATTTTGAAAGGCCATAAGTAACATATTTTTCTTCTTTTAGCGGAGGTTGGAGCGAGAGACTGGAGGCGCTCGGTGAATAATGCAGAAGTCAGTCGTCAAAACACTTCTTGATCAATCACGCAGGTCGATTGGTTATTTAAAGCCCTATGTCCAGGCATCTCTCCGAACCAAAGCCCTGTGTGCTTTACCTGCCGCCTTTTGTCTTTCTCCTGTCGCTCTGGACCGAGTCTGAACAGAATCGACCGGAGATGATCCACTTTGGTCGCTCCCGTGGACGAAGATAACATCTGGAACACAAACTGATTACGAAGCGACCCCCCCCAGGCGACCGCTACACCACTGCTGCCTCCAAAACACCACAACAAGCCGCAGATACTGACAAAGAAATGCAACAAAACTAGAAAGCTGGAGCGGAGAAGGCAAGACAAACTCTGGAGCTCACAGTTTGTGGAAAGAAGTTGATAGTATATCGAGATGTCCTGCATTCCAGTGAACGATAGCTTCTGCCAGAAGGAAGAAGCTGGAACATGGCTTTTCCAGAGGACAGAAGAGTCATTGATTATTCTGAGAGCTTGGTGTAAAAGTCTGGATTCGTGAAAAACCTCCAGAACAGGCAGATCACAGTCCTGTCTCTGGTCTCTCTCTGGTCTCTCTCTGGTCTCTCTCTAGTCTCTCTCTAGTCTCTCTCTAGTCTGTCTCTAGTCTCTCTTTCTGGTCTATCTCTGGTCTATCTCTGGTGTCTCTCTCTGGTCTATCTCTGGTCTCTCTCTGGTCCATCTCTGGTCTCTCTCGCTGGTCTCTCTCTGGTCTCTCTCTCTGGTCTCTCTCTCTGGTCTCTCTCTCTGGTCTCTCTCTGGTCTCTCTCTCTGGTCTCTCTCTCTGGTCTCTCTCTCTGGTCTCTCTCTCTGGTCTCTCTCTCTGGTCTCTCTCTCTGGTCTCTCTCTGGTCTCTCTCTGGTCTCTCTCTGGTCTCTCTCTGGTCTCTCTCTGGTCTCTCTCTGGTCTCTCTCTCTGGTCTATCTCTGGTCTCTCTCTCTCTGGTCTCTCTCTCTGGTCTATCTCTGGTCTCTATCTCTGGTCTCTATCTCTGGTCTCTATCTCTGGTCTCTATCTCTGGTCTATCTCTGGTCTCTCTCTGGTCTCTCTCTCTGGTCTCTCTCTGGTCTCTCTCTGGTCTCTCTCTCTGGTCTATCTCTGGTCTCTATCTCTGGTCTCTATCTCTGGTCTCTATCTCTGGTCTCTATCTCTGGTCTATCTCTGGTCTCTCTCTGGTCTCTCTCTCTGGTCTCTCTCTGGTCTCTCTCTGGTCTCTCTCTCTGGTCTATCTCTGGTCTCTCTCTGGTCTCTCTCTCTCTGGTCTATCTCTGGTCTCTCTCTCTGGTCTCTCTCGTTCTGGCTGACACAACTGAAGAACAACATCATAAAGACCAGCTTTTGGTAATTTCACACATTTTTAGAGATACAAGATTGAATAAAGGACCTCTGTTTTGTGTGAAGAAATGATGTTTACTTAAAACAAAAAGATCTCGCACAAAACTTCAAAAAATAAGATGTACAACAAGTTACAGTTTTCCGTTGAGTTGTTTTGTGTTGGTAAAAAAGAGAGCCGCAGTTGTCAGAGGGGCAGATTCATGTCGCGTTCTGATGTGACCTGCAGTTTTCCAGAACACGGATCATGCAGTAAATATGTCCTCTTTTGCAAACATGAAACAGGAAAAGTATCCGTGTTATAACTTATATTACACGCTTCCTGTGGCTCAGAGAATGGACATTACAGCTCTGTTTGTTACAAGTCTCTCCATGGCCTCAAAGTACATCTGTGACAGGATAGAGACATACTGTATGAACCAAGTCTGAGGAGCACAGGGACTGGCCTCCTGCTGGGACTCTGAGGAGCACAGGGACTGGCCTCCTGCTGGGACTCTGAGGAGCACAGGGACTGGCCTCCTGCTGGGACTCTGAGGAGCACAGGGACTGGCCTCCTGCTGGGACTCTGAGGAGCACAGGGACTGGCCTCCTGCTGGGACTCTGAGGAGCACAGGGACTGGACTCCTGCTGGGACTCTGAGGAGCACAGGGACTGGCCTCCTGCTGGGACTCTGAGGAGCACAGGGACTGGACTCCTGCTGGGACTCTGAGGAGCACAGGGACTGGACTCCTGCTGGGACTCTGAGGAGCACAGGGACTGGACTCCTGCTGGGACTCTGAGGAGCACAGGGACTGGCCTCCTGCTGGGACTCTGAGGAGCACAGGGACTGGCCTCCTGCTGGGACTCTGAGGAGCACAGGGACTGGCCTCTTGCTGCTGCCCAGAGTGAGGACTAAACATAGGGAGTATTTCAAATGAATGCAGCGAACAGTCTTCCTGAAAATGTGAGACAGGGTTATTCTCTGACAATGTTCAAATCCAGCTAAACAGTTCCGATACAAATGCAAGATTTCAAGTTACTCTTTTCAATGTATGGTGGTATTTATGTCTTGTATCTGTCTTGCCTTGCGTATAAGTACATGGTAAATGATATGGTTGTTGTACCATCTATGATGAAAGTTACAGTGATTATTATTAATTAAAGTCATTTCAGGGACAACTAAAACTTGTCTCACGGCCGGATTTGGCCCCGGGGCCTCGGTTTATCATGGCTTGACCGCTATCATTGAACCAACACCCAATCCAACACATCCTCATCCACTGCTAAAGAAAATCCCAGATACTTGACACTTCTGTTTTTCATGACTTCCAAGAAGCCATCGAACCAGAAAATATTCGCCGCAATCAACACCGCCGCAGCTCGTTCTCACAGCGACACTGATCTTCCATTTTTTCCACGGAATTTCAACAGCTTCCAGTTCACTCTTTGTTCCTTTGATCACCATTCAAACCCGCGGAGCCCACGAAGCGACCCCCCCAGGCGACCGCTACACCACCACTGCCTCCAAAACACCACAACAAGCCGCAGATATTGACAAAGAAATGCAACAAAACTGGAAAGCTGGAGCGGAGAAGGCAAGACAAACTCTGGAGCTCTCAACTTTTGTTTTGCTGCAGGAAATGGGAAAACTTCAAAAGATCCGTCTGACGTGATGTGAGGCAAAGCATTTGATCGGGCAACTTTGACGTCGAGGAATGAGAAAGAGGGGGAGAGGTGAAGTGATAAAAGATGGAAGACAGAAGTGGAGTCTGGAGAAGCCGGTAGGTATGTGGGGTTGCACAAGATCCACCGACCGCTTTCCAGGTGAAATGTTTTAAATTTGTAAAAGGTTGATGCAGAATTGTTGCTTAAATGATGCAGTTTTAATGAGATGGGAAAAAAATGATGGAATGAAAGATCAAAGTCATCTCGTTTTTTCTGTGAATAAACAAAACATTTGAGATTGCCTCTTGACTGAACACAAATTATAGAGAGATGCTTTCAATCACCACAGTCCAAGAGGGAAGAAGAACAGAATACCTTCTGACAGTTTAGCGGGGTGTGCTACACTCTTTCGTTATTATTGAAAGCTGTTGTCATCGTTGGCTGGGACCTCTCAATGTGGAGAAGCAGCGGCTCTACTCCGAGCTCCTCCCGTCTTACTTAGCTCTTGACCGTTTGCCCAGCCACTCTGCAAAGGTTGGGCTTGTATCAGAGATTTATTTCTTTCGGTCATTGAACCAAAGCTCATGGTCAAAGGTTCATCAGAGACACGTTAGTACCATATGAACCAACTGGGACTCTGAGGAGCACAGGGACTGGCCTCCTGCTGGGACTCTGAGGAGCACAGGGACTGGCCTCCTGCTGGGACTCTGAGGAGCACAGGGACTGGCCTCCTGCTGGGACTCTGAGGAGCACAGGGACTGGCCTCCTGCTGGGACTCTGAGGAGCACAGGGACTGGCCTCCTGCTGGGACTCTGAGGAGCACAGGGACTGGCCTCCTGCTGGGACTCTGAGGAGCACAGGGACTGGCCTCCTGCTGGGACTCTGAGGAGCACAGGGACTGGCCTCCTGCTGGTCCCTGAGTCAGAACTAAACATGGGGAGGCTGCATTTCAGATTCATGCTGCAAAATTCTGGAACAATCTTCCTAAAAATGTGAGACAGACTTTTTCCCTGACAATGTTCAAATTCAATCAGAGCTGCCACCCAAGTCTCATGGGCTAAGTGTCTTGCCCAGGGACACACTGACAGCAGTGGAAGAAGGTGATATGGGTCGTGAGGGGATTGAACCCTCAACCATCTGGTTCAAAGACCAACGAATATACACAGATTCACAGCAAAACAAAAGTATGGCTCCAGCAGAAATACGTGTTAAAGAATGAAACCTTTTTGGCTCTCTAAGCTAAAATTGTTGTGGACCTTTGAATTAGAGCTCTGACTGCAGACGCTTCTCCCTCTCTCTCTCTGACGTGGTACTAATCTTCCACTTAAGTACAGCTATTGTCAACTCTTCTATCATCACAAGCAACACGTGTCCGATGCATCCACAGCACGCCGTCCGAGCCCTGCCTCGCCGCGCCTCCACTTACAGAGCGCCGTCTGCATAATCACGACGTCGGACGCAAATTAGAAAAACCCGAATCCATCAAAGACCTCTGCTCCCGCTCGGCCGCATTTGCATCCCCCCGTTGTCAAATCACAGTCCGCCCGGAGAATTACCGACGCAGAGGAAATGAGTGATAGGAGCAGGACGCAGCCGTTTTTGCAAAAGAAATCGTAATGGCCACTTTATTGAATCCAGCCGCAGCCCGACACCAACGCGCGGCTTGTTTGTGGAATGCCTTTAAAAGCTAATAAATATGCAAACTCGGCATATCCATTAAAAAAAAACTCCTTACATGGCGTAAAAAATTCAAATGTATTAAATAATTATGGACTGGATAAACAATGGATGTATGTATTTATGGAGAGAGAGAGAGAGAGAGGCCAGTCTGAGGCATTAAGTCCCTTTTTACACTTTCGCGATGTTTTTCACTCCATCTAAAGACGTGAGAGTGGTTAATATTGTAGTGAGGTTGCGACGGCTTCTTGGAGACTTCAAACTAAATGAAAAATCCCGTCGAGACCAAAGCGCCGCTGCAAATGTGACAATGTACAGGGTTAGTGCTTTGATGGTCGACACTGTCACTGAGGACGGGACTGGAACAGAAATGGAAACTCACCCAGAATTTGGCCTTTTGTGTGGTGTTTTAAGGGTAAAACTCTGAAAATCCATCCATTCATCCATTTTGTTCTGCGTCATCTGTTGCCAAGACATAGGGGCAGGTGTCTAAACAGATTTTTTTTTTATTTACATTTTTATACGGTACTTAATCATTGTTTATATAGCAACTTTCACAGACCAGAGTCACAAAGCGCTTTGCCACTGTGGGAATTTGTCTCTCACTCCACACAGATGGGAGCGAGGTTGCCAGTTTTTAGTGGTAGGGGAAACTGGAGCACCTGGAGGAAAACTTACGCAGACACGGGGAGAACATACAAACTCCTCTCAGATAGACCCTGTTCCGACCGGGATTCGAACCCAGGACCTTCTTGCGGAGAAACGAGAGGGCTAAACACTCAGCCACCGATCGTTTCTAAAACTCACCCAGAGTTAGGCCTTTTCTGTGTTGTTTTAAGGGTAAAACTCTGAAACTTTTAACTCTGAAAATGTGTTCAATTCAATCCAATGTATTGTTGGACACTCAAAGACGCTTTACAGAAGAACAAAAAACATGAAGAGTAAATTGTTAAGTGTAGGCAGTTCTGAACAGGTGGGTCTTGAGCGGCGTCTGTCTAAGTTCCTGATGTGTTGTGGGAGCTCCAGAGAGTGTATGGCCCTTAATCATAACAGCAGTTGATTCCAAAGTTGTCAATTCACCAACTCAGAACAGAGAATCAAAGGAAATGCAATATCAACAAACACAGAAGAGCCATCGGTTCAAAGGGAGCAGGAGGACCACTGTCCAGAAATATTTATAAATGTCCGTGACTGTCCTCAAATTTCGTGGATCCCAAATTAGGATATCGGTCAAAAGTTAATTTACATAACAGTAATTCATCATAAAAATGAGATGAAGATGTCCGCGCATTCAAAGCTACGGCCTCTCCTGATTGGTGGATGCTCTGGCTCCTATTGACTGACATTGAAAAGTAAACTGCTCTGGCTCAGTAACCGTTTGTGTTATATCTAGGGCTGTCAAACGATTCAAAATTTTAATCGAGTCAATTAAAGCTTAAAAATGTATTAATCGTAATTAATCGCATTTAAAACTATCGACAAAATTATGCCATATTGTTCTGTAAATGGTTGTTTGAATGGAAAGATAAATGACAGCATATTGTACATATGTACTGTATTTGTTCATTATAACAATAGATCCATAAATAATGGCATTAACATTATTAACATTCTGTCTTTGTTTAGACTCAGACCAAACTATTGTTTGTTACAGATGAGGGACATTTCAAAACAGTCTGAAATGCATAATGTCATTACATTTGTCATGAACTGGTTGAGTTTGAGTTTATTTGTATAAGTGTCATGCACAAAAGTGCCCAGCCCACATGGGCTTATATAACACTGAACAACAACTTCTGATGGCTACAGACCATATACAGACATGAAAAACAGAAAACAATTTACAATTTGGTGCATTATACAGGGTAGAGAATCTGTTGTCTCCTCTCCCAGGCTTTAGCAACAAAAGAAGCAAAGGCAAAAACGTCATGGCAATTGTAACGCTAGCAGGCTAGGGCGCTGACTGCAATGTGTAACTCAGAACTAGATCCGGCCACGGAGCAAAGTGTGTGACAAAAAAACACTAAGATAACGTTTTAGAGCTCTATAAATCAACTTGTATTATAATTCTTATATGTTAACCAGGTATGAATTATAGGATGTATATTACATTATATTAGACAATAAGACATGAACAAAAAACGCAAGACAAACAAAAAACAATTCCCGAAAACGGAATGACTCAAGGTTCTCAGAGTTCAGTTTGAAAAAAAGTTCAGAGTCCAGGGCTTGGAGAAAATAATTTAAAAAAAAAGTTCAAATAGAGTTTCATTGTCCTACCGCGATGAAGGTAGGAGGGCAGTGGTTGGGTAGCTCGCCATCCAATGGTCAAAAAAAAGAATAGTAATCCAAACGGGTAGGGGGGAAAAAAAACCTGACCTAAACAAGGCCAGACAAAATATTCAATTAGTCAAAGAGGAAAAAAAAATAGATAACTAAAAAAATTGGCTTGATTTACAGAAATAAAATACATGCTTCTAAATGCAAGAAGATAAATATATTCTTAAGGTCATAATAATCATAAACATATCAATAAATCAAAGTGAAGCTTCAGTATCAAATATCAAATAAAGTGCACTTAAAAAGTCAAAAAATCACTAGCATATCCGCTAAGTATTAATCAAAAAACTGTACAATTATTATCAAGGTTCACGTTTAGAACATTATTCAAAAGGAAAAAAGTTCTTCCAAAAGAAATCCAATTCAAAAATACAGAGCCGCCTGGGCGCTCGTCTCAAAAAAAGTAAACAGAAATAGGCATAAAGAGCCAATACAACTAAAGTGTCGCTCCCTGCAGAGGTAACGCAGGCTACCGCATAGTTCGGGTTGAGTGAAAAGGTGAATTTAGCAGATGTCAAATAAATAAATGCTCCGTTAGCATTAAGTTAGCGGCGGCACTACATGAATACACACGCACCATAGCTGCGTGAAGTGCCTAAAATAACAGTGTGGTTCAACTCACCGGTGAGAAGAGCAAGAAGGAGGGGAGGTATTAAGCGGTCCCCAACAGTTTGTGTGTGGATCTGGGATGTGATGATGGGAGTATGGATTAGTAAACAGTACGAGTGTGTATTGATAATCATGCTCTTAAAAACAACGCAGATTGACTCACCCGATGAATGACACGAGAGACGCGCTCCGGTACGGGAATGCGGTTTGCAACTGCGGGTAGTCGTTTGCAACTTTCAAACGACTGTTTTAGGCACAAATAGACCTGTCCACGCCACAGCAGGAGCAGCGTGTTGGCATGAGTGGGACTGGACAGGGGGGAGTGACAGGTGGGGCAGGGATCTTAAAGGAAAGCGGCCCGCCACAATAAAAGCCTAGGGACAGTGAGCCGCTATTTCATGTGGGTTACACAGTACATCCAGTTCATAATTTCTCCCTCCGGCCACCAAAAGACCTCTGGTAGTGGAAGGTAAAATTAGGTACCCCAGCTTTAATTTAGGGAGTTCACTTCGGGAGAAGAAACATGGAGGAGACTGAGGCCCCGTAGCCCAGCTTCTGCGCTGAATATGTTGTGTGCACCAGTTACGCAAAGACACGCGCGGCGCGGAGCTTACGGAGGTGACGTGACGTTACTTGCGCAACGCGTTGGTCACCGCAAGGCCCTTACGTCGCCTGCCGTGCAGCATCGAAATTTACGTACTACGTAAGGGTTGCCGCAAGGAATCTCCGCTGTGATTGGTCCGTGTGTGTGTATTGGAAGGAAGCACGGAGCGGCTGCAGCAGGAGCATGGAGGAGGCACTATGGAGCAGAGAGCTTTGTGCTTCGAAGGAAAAGCAGTTTGGGCTCAGAGCCTGATATACAGGAGACTGTGGACTATCTAACATATATATAACTTATATCTAACATATATATAACTTATAAACTGTGCAGTCGTTTGTTTTGCACTGTTCCTGTCTTTTTTGAATCGTAGCTGCGTTTGTTGCTTTCCTCCTGCACTCGTAAATCGTTCATGTTTGTCTCAGATATTTACCACTATTATTGTTTTGCTGTTTGTGCTGAAAACTATTTAATAATAACCATGTTTCCAACAAGAACTGTGTCTTTATTCACAGCATCACAGTTGAAATGACTTTTATAAAATAATGAATCCATAAAACTATCACATAAACCTACAGTAGAAACACGTGTAATGAGCTCAAACAGCTTTGTTTGTTATTGTTGTTCTGAAGAGGACAAAGTAGCAGCGTAAATGGGACCGCTCCTGTGTGATCGCCCTCATGTGGTTTGTTGTGGGATTACAACATTCTCCTCAAAACTCCGTAAGGGGAATGCGCCAGTATAACATCAATTGTGCTTTCGTAGGTCCACCGCAACCGCTAACGTAAGCCACGCCGCGCAAGTATACACTAGGCTTCAGAGAATAGTTCTGTGCGTGGTCTTGGATATGATCACTTTACGCAGCGCCGTTCGCCGTGACCACAGCCGCTGGAGGAACTGCTGTCCAGACCGCCGCAGCTCAGCTCGTAGAGTTCATACAGGAGGAAACGCGTGTATTCTTTTGAAACGTGGATTCCCAGAGACCTGCTCTGTTGCCATCTCACACACGTGTCCGTGCATTTTGAGTGTTATTATGGGATGCATGGGCATGCGTTAATTGCCTTAATTCTTTTAACACGATTAAGGAAAAAAAATTATTAACGTGCGTTAACGCGATCATTTTGACAGCCCTAGTTATATTGTCTTTGTAAATACAGATATCAACCAATCAGATTCCTTCATTCGACTCTTAGCAACCATCTTAGCAACGCATCTGCC